GGTGGGGGGGGGCGCTGATGTACAGTCCCGGGGCGTGGCTGTGTATGTCAGCGTTACAGACGCACAGACACTGGGCTACTATATATATGATAAGGCTTTAGGAAAAGTGGTGATAGACACGTGAATTAACATACTAATATAGATAAAAGGGTCTGATTAACAACAGGGTGCTGCCACTCTGACATTATATTGAATATCCATGGTAAATGTGCGTATGCAATAACATAGTCCTTTCTACCCCATTTGCTTCTGGGTCACCTGTTTCTTCTCTAAGAGCAATGAGATATTCTGTCTTATTCGCTATCCTCTTTTAAATGATTCCTAACATTGTGTTTATTTTTTTGACTGCGGCTGTACACTGAGTGGATGGTTTCAGAGAAGTATCCATAATGACTTCTCGATCTCTTTCTTGAGTAGTTGCAGCCAAATTAATCCCCATCACATCGTGGCTACGTCTGGACTGGCATGATTTTCTGCAAATGCTTAAAACGGAACAGTTTTCCGTTAAAAGCATTTGCAGAAAAGAGCATCTAGATTGGCACGGACGCTTTTCCACAAAAGCACTTTTTGCGGAAAAGCATCCGTGCCAATCTAGACGCGCTTTTGCGCAAAATAGCCCTGATCACCATTTTCGCGATTGGGGCTTTTTTGCGCAAACTAAAGCTGAGCTGTCTACACTGGCCCTTTTGCGCAAAAGCTTTGTGCAAAAGGGACTTTTGCCTGAACGGGAGCAGCATAGTATTTCCACAAGAAGCACTGATTTCAGACCGTAGGAAGTCAGTGATCTTGCAGAAATTCAAGCGGCCAGTGTAGACAGCTGGCAAGTTTTGCGGAAAAGCTTGCCAGTCTAGACACAGCCTGTATGTATAGGTGGGATTATTTTTACATTCATCAACATTACATTCATTTGCCATTTTGTTGCCCAATCACTTAGTTTGGTGAGAACTTTTTGAAGCTCTTCACAGTCTGCTTTAGTCTTAACGATCTTGAGCAGTTTGGTATCATCTGCAAATTTTGCCACCTCCCTGTTTACCCCTTTCTCTAGATCAGGAGTGGGTAGTAATTTTTGGTGGGGTGCTGTTCTCAGGGGATGCAATAGAGCACTTACCCAGTCAGCTTCCAACGTCACTGGGTCAACGTCACTTTCGCTCAGTGGAAAAGTACGTGCGCACCTTGTGTCACACATGCCACCATGAAGTGAGGCCCCAGGATCACGTGACCACTGCTTTTTGCTGCACGATGGACACTAGAGGAGCAGCTACCGCATGGCAGTTAGAGCCTCGTGCCACAATGCACCACAAGAGTTGAACTCTTCCCTCTCCCCCCATCTGTGCGTGCAACTAACTCGGCTGCCCCATTCTGTGTGACTGTTTATCATGGGGGGGGGATGCACTCCCTCCCCATTGTTGCACTTTGCCCCACCCTGGCTGTTTCTATGAGCCTGGTACCAGTGCTGTGTCTGTCTGCCTGTAACGCCCACTCTTTATGCGTTTCTCCAGTTCTGCACATGTACAGCATGACTGTGAACCATTAGTAACTGCTCTCTGAGAAGGTTATCCAGGCATTTATGCACACACCTTCTAGTTGCCCCATGTAGGTTGTATTTCTCTAGCTCAGTGTTTCTCAACCAATGGTACGAGTGCCCTTAGGGGTACACGAGAAAAGTCTCGGGGGGGTATATGAACAGAACTGAAATTTGGAGAAAACTGAATTTTTAAGTTTTACAGTGTTTTATTATTTTGGTACTTTTTACACCCAAAAATTTCATTACTCACCTGGCTACGATTAAGTTGTTTAAACAAATGTGTTGCAATGGTAGAAAAAATGTGTGTGTTTCTGAAAACTGCAGGTACTGGGGATACTTGACATTTTTTTTAAAGAGGTACTTTATAAAAAAAGGTTGAGAAACACTGCCCTAGTTTTTTGATAAAGACATTTGAAACCATGTCAAATGCCTTACTCAAGTCTAGGTACCATGTTCACCTCTGCTCCCTTATCCACAAGGCTTATTATCTTATCAAAGAAAGCTATCAGATGGGTTTGACATGATTTGGTCTTTACAAATCCATGCTGATTGTTACTTATCACCTTATTTTATTCCAGCTGTTTGCTGATGAATTCCTCAATTACCTGCTCCATGCCCTTCCCTGGCACAGAGGTTAAACTGACTGGTCTGTAATTTCCTGGGTGGCTATTCCCCTTTTTATAGTTGGGCACTATATTTGCCCCTTTCCAGTCTTCTGGAATCTCTTCTGACGTCCATGACTTTTCAAAGATGATAGATAGCTAAAGGCTCAGATACCTTCTCTATCAGCTCCTTAAGTATTCTAAGGATGCATTTCATCGGGTCCTGGTGACTTGCAGACATCTACTTTTTCTAAGTAATTTTTAACTTGTTCTTTTTTTATTTTAACTTTTACATCTACCCCATTTCCACTAGCATTCAATATAGTAGGCATCCTGTCACCATCAAACTTCTTGGGTAAAACTGAAACAAAGAAGTCATTAAGCGCCTTTGCCATTTCAATGTTTTCTGTTGTTATTTCTCCATCTTCACTGACTAAATATGTATATATCGTTAATCTCTAAGGGTATGTCTACACTACAGCACTAATTCGAACTAACAGTTCAAATTAATTTGAATTAAGCTAAGCTAATTCAAATTAGTGCATCTAGACTTAAAAACCAGTTTGAATTAGCATTTTGCTAATTCGAACTAGCACATCCACACCGATTGGACGCTGGGGCGCATTTAAGGGCAGCTGAAACCGGTTCTGGCAGGGCATCAGGTCAGTAGTTGCTTGGTGTGGCTGCTGTCTGAGGCTCGTGCTCAAAGGGGACCCCCCTGGACAGCTGGCTGTCAGCTTTTCCGCTTGCTTGCCTACCTTGCCTGCTGCTTCATGGCAGCTACGAGCACAAGTTTGCAGGCAGCTTCCTTTGCCCACTGTGAGACAGCGAGAGGAGGTGGCACAGATCTCAAGGGCTCCTGTTTACCCCACTCCATCCCGCCCCCCCCCCAGCAACACAGCTAGCTCAGCACTATTTTAAATATAAAAACAGAAATACTTTTAATGGTCACTTATGAAAAATATTACATTTAAAATTATACACACAAATAATCTCTCAGTGCCTCCCCATCACAGCCAGGAGGAGTCTGGTGGAGATCTAGAAATAGCTGGCACAAGATGGATAACGGTTACAGTGGGCGGGAAGAGTGGTTAGTATCAACAGGAATAAATTATGTTATTTAAAAAAAGGTGAATATACACAATTTAAGGAGTCCATTAAATAAACCAAGGTAGTAATTGCACAGTATGAATTAAAATGCTGAAGGAGTCATTACAAATCAGCTGCTAGGATATGAGACTACATGGTTACTCTAGAGAAGGGGTGGGCAAGATACCTCTCACAGGCTGCAATCTGCCTGCCAAGCCACCTGATCCGGCCCACGGACGCCCCTCCCGGGATTGTAGGGCTGCTCCGCTGGACTCTCTTCTCCGGAGGGAGAGGGAGGCTTCAGGTGATCTCCCCACTCATCCTTAGCTCCTATTGGCAAGAAACAGCCAGCCAATGGGAGCTGAAAGATTGGCCTGGAGCATGGGGGTGGTGCAAGCCTCTCCCCACTCCTGGGCTGCGTCTAGACTGGCATGATTTTGTGCAAAAGATTTGCTTTTGCACAAAAGCATCCGTGCCAGTGTAGACGCTCTCTTGCGCAAGAAAACTCCGATGTCCATTTTAGCCATCGGAGCTTTCTTGCGCAAGAAATCAACTTGGCTGTCTACACTGGCCTCTTGTGCAAGAGGGCTTATCCCTGAGCGGGAGCATCAGAGTATTTGTGCAAGAACCACTGATTTTGTACATTACAACGTCAGTGTTCTTGAGCAAATACTCGTGGCCAGTGTAGACAGGCGACAAGATTTTGCGCAAAATCATGCTAGTGTAAACGCAGCCAGAGAAGGGTTGGAACTTAACTTCATTCACAAGTTTAATTCTTATGCAAATTGTATGAACTAGAATGGCTGGCTCTCACTTCATATTCCACATATTAATGACTTAACCAACCAGCCAACCAACCAATGAAGGTGCTAATGGTTCTTATCAGCCTCTTGTAACTATTTTGTCTCTAAGATGCTACTAGACTATTTGTTGTTTAAGTTTTTCCTGTTACAGACTAACTCAGCCACCCCTCTGAAGCTTATCTACACGCTGTCTCTTTTTCTTCCTCCCCTCCTTTTCCCCCCTCATTTTTCCCTTCTCCCCTCTCCATGCAGCCCCCCCATACTCCTCCCCCAGGCCAGAATCCTCTCCTGCACCCTCCCTCCATCCCTGACCCTACACCCATCTCCTGACCCAGGTCACAACCCTCTCTTTCACCCAAACTTCCTCTCAGACCTGACATGGTCTCTTCAACCCCAGTCCCTTACTCCATACACCCTTCTGCACCCAACTTCCATCCTAGACCCTGCACCTCCTCCACAGAAAAGTGCAGTCCTTGACCACTTTCCAAAATCTTGGATTGGCCCCCACCAGAAATTATTGTCCACCCCTGCTCTAGAGCATTACACAACGTCTCTAGCTCACACTCACAGCCAGCCCTTGGCAGGAAGCTGTGGAGGCTCTGTTCCCCTAGGGCTGGGCATGGCCTCAGGTGTAGGAGACCCTTTGCAAAATGTAGCTCCATGGAAGAACCCAGGAGAGACTCTGGCCTGTCTCCTGACACCTGGAAGAGGCGGCTTTGGTGAACTCAGAGAGCAGACGATGGGGTGAGATCCCCAGGCCCAGGCAGAACAGGGCCTATGAATGTCAGTATGAGGAAGCAGAGAATGTCTGCCAGCCACAGGGCTGAAGCTACTCCCAGGCCCAGACCAAGGGCAGGTCTTCACAGCAAGACCCAGGGGCAAATCCCTCTAGCCCACTTAGGCCTCCCAGCCAAGGCCCTGCACCTCTGCTGGATGATGACATAGAAGGGGCACTCTCTCTCTGAGGGAGGCACTTGAGCCCCTGGGCTGCTGCTCCAAGTAAGACACATACTGGCTGCCTCCCCCTTCCCCCGCCATCCCCAAGCAAATGCCACCCAGACCTGTGCATGCTCCCAGCACGCTGCTTCTGCTTCCCTCGTGGACACCATTTGCAAGCCATGAGTGAACTCCCTTCCTGCTCTGCCAGGTGTGGGGTCGCACCCAGGACACCCTCACCCCACAATGCAGTGAATTTCCTGGACACCATTGGCTGAGCGGTCCCAGTCCCCCCACACAAGTGGATCTCTCAAGCCCTGTGCTGACAGCTCCCTCAGGCTGAACCAGGCCGATGCTGGGGTCGGTTTACCGCAGCACCTCCCTGTGTCAGCCCAAGAGACGGGCAGCCCATTCTGACAGGTTCCACTTCTACCCAGTGCTGAAATGCTGGGGATAGGTTCAGACCCTCTGACCTCAGCAGGCTTTTCCTGCAGCAGTGTTCTTCAACCTGCACCCCCTTGGGCCTGCCAGCTGTCTAAGGGGTCTGCCAAAGGCTACTATGAAAACCACATTCCAGACCCCACAAAAAGCATTCTGTGTTTCTGAGCAACCAAGCGCATGTGAATACCCCATCTCCAGGGCAAAGCCTGGGAGTGCTGCAGTAACCATGCAAGGCCAGGGCCCTGTCTCACATGGTGGCAAACGCTGTGCCAAGCACATGCAACATTTACAGCGGAAATCTGCAGTCTAAGACATCTGTGCTGGAGCACTGCAGCGGACCACAGACTGAATTTTCAAAGTGGGACACCCCCACTTCGACATTTGTTACGGGTCTACAGCTGAAAAAAGGTTGAAACCCCCTCTCCTACAAGAAATGGCTGGGGGTGGTATCCAGAGCCAGGCAAGCAGACATCACAAGCAGCGGTATTCCTCCAATAAACAGATTCTGCTGTGGCCACCCCACAGAGGGGACTCAGGCTGGCTCCTAGTTCTTGTGAGGGGTGGGGGAACCCAAGCTGGGGCTGGAAGGATACTGCTGAGAGCTGGCAGAGAGTGTCTCTGGGGATGCTTATCCCCTAGGAAGCTCCTACACGGCTCCACCTCACATGCTCAGTCCTGATGCAGACGGGCACGGAGGCAGCTTTGTTATTATGTTTCCAGTCTGCTTCACTTAGGGTTAACAGCCATTTCCTCAGCCTCCGCAGCATGCAAAGGGCACCCAGCAACTGGGTGCTTACACCAGGGAGCCTGCCTGGCTCTGAGCAGGCACCATGACTGGCACCGCCCCCATTCTGGTCAGGGTAGAGGTGGTTAGCCCTTGGTGGCCAGTGAGCTCCTGCTGGGGGGCCTGTAGCTGTGCCCCATTTGTCCTGTGCAGAGTGTTCCTGTTGCTTGGCACAGAGGCAGGGGAGGGTGGGAAGTAGAGGGGCAGGCTCTGGCTGGACACACTGGGTGTGGGGGTCAGGGTCTGGCTCCGGGGGTGGATGTAGGGAGGTTTGTAGCCCACGGTGCTGCCAGTGGCAGTGGTGATGGATGGGGTTTGTGTTCCCGGGGTGTGTGCACAGAGGACAAGGTGCCGTTCTTGGAGACAATGTCAGAACCGGAACTTTTTGCCCAAGAAAGCGTCTTTGGAGCAACAGCGTCCTCCCTGCAAGGCAAGCAGAGCGAGCGAGCATCAGTGCTGGAGGGTCTCTGTATTCACCCCCTGCGGGCCTCCCTCCCCCAGCACGACTGGAAACTGGACCTGAGACTGACAGCACCACTGGCCTCCAGTGGGGCCATTCCATGCACCAAGGAGGACCTCCCAGGAGCTGACAAATGGCTGCCAAGCCTCAAGTCAGCCTGTGGTGCCTGCAGACTGGGTTGGAACTTGGCCAGTTTGGTCTGGAGACCAGATGACATTCAAACCCAAAGGGACATGAGGGTTGCAGTCCAAGTGCTCAAAGCTGGGCAATGCTCAGGACAGGCTGCCTGTGCAAGCTAGAGGCAACCCCTTGGCATGAAGTGCTACCAGCCACGCTCACAGAGCACTGGGCCACAGTGGCTGGCTGCTAGCCTCTAGGCAGGGCATGCACAAGACAGCGCTAAGAGGGACTTTGCCAGGAGGTTCCCAGCTATTTTCTGACAGCAGAGGAATGCAGAGACTCAGGACTCAACCCCGAGCTCTGGAGGGAGTGTTTTCTAATGGTTAGAGACCCTGCTACCTCCACCACCTGTCCACCTTCCCAGTTGCTCTGCATTGCCTCCTGACTCCCACTGCTTCCTCCTCACCTGGGCTCATGCCCCTCTTCTCCTGGCAGAGCCAGCTTTATGTACACACTGAATATGCAGCTGTGTAGGTCCCACAGAATGGGGATAACATTGCCCCACATTTCACAGCGCTCCAGGCAGCTGCATCCTGTGTGTGTGGTGCTGGCTCCAGTGGCCAGCCCCTCCCAGGCTATGTCCAGCCACCGATCACCAGCTGTTCCCCCTTCCGGCAGAAAGGGAAACTGCCCCTGTTCCCCTCACATGTGGCTGACTGGTAGAGGCTAGCGCTGAGTTGTCACCCTTTGGGGTTCACGTTTGTGCACAATGGGGGCTGCTAGTCCTGGCATGTTATGCAGCGTCCTCCCCATCTCCTGCCCTGCTCCTGAGAGCAGATCCTCTCTGTGCACCTGGTTAGCCGGGGGGGGAGGGGGACCAAGACAGAGGCAAGAGGGGAGAAACAGGAGGGGGAGCAACAGCAGTCTGAGGAGGAAAAAGTGAACTCCTGGGCACGGTGCCTTTCCCCCATGTCTGGCAGGGGGCAGCAGCGGGCACAGGCAGGACCTTGTAACATTTTTCCTTTCTTTTCTGCTTCCCACCTCCCCATCACCGGCGAGAGTGGAGCCCCAGATCCCCCTCCAGCCTGCAGCTTGTGCTGCTCCCCATCTAGTGCCGCCCTGCCCTGCTCTTGCCCCCAAGGCCTCCACACTTTGGCCATAGCCTCACTGCAGAGTGGCTGGCGTGTTCCAGCCAAGCTAGTTCCTCCCTTTCCTTCTGGCTGCTCGGGTGCCACTGTGGGAGGAGAGACAGAGAGCACAGGGGAGACAG